ATTTTTTTAAAAAATGAAATATTTTATTAAAAAGTTATTTTTATTTCTTAGTAATAACTTATTCCAATGCAATAACATTTAAGTGAATTAGTTGTTTCGCTTCGATCAGCCACAAATAAATGATTTGCTATGAAAAATTTATTGTAATATATTAAATATAAAGCATAAAATCTTAAAATATAATAAATTTAACAATTAGATTTTTTTGAAATTTAAATTAGTGAAAAGAATAGTTTTTTATTTTCATTTTTTAAGTTTTCTCAAATTCAGAAATTATATTTGCTCAATCTTTCCTAAGAATGTTAACTATGATCATTTGATAAATTTGTATGTATCTTATGGATTGATAAAACGATTAAAAATTATAGAACTAGAAATTATAGAATAATAGAACTATATCGATATTAATAATAAATATTTTTCGTATTGCAATTCTTCATTCCGCGATTTTATATTTGAAAATGATATAATGATAATTTTATATTTTAATAAGTTATATTTGACTCAAATCTCTGAAGTATATTATATGTGTATGAAAATATATAATATTTTAATATTAATATATATAATTATATATATTAAATATAATTATATATATAATTAATAATAATACAATATTATTATGATTCTTAAACTATTCGCAATTTTTTATTTATTAAATGTTGAAATTTCAATGTTCGATAATGGAAATAAGTAAAAAATGTGAAAATATACATATGTATAAGTATATGTATAAGTACATGTATAATATACATATATGTATAAATACATAAGTATATGTATTAAACCTATGAAATACACAATACAAAAGAAAGAATTTTGACTCTAAGCAATAAAATGAAATATCTTATATTATTTGTTTTATGTTTCTAATATTTTTAATAAATTGCACCGATTTTATAAAATGTTTATAATTTAGTATTTTTTTCTAAACATTAATAGATGAATCTTATTAATTTAGTTTTCTTTTTATCAATTTTAATAATTTTGAAATATATTGTATCATTTTGAATAATCTTTGCCTATAATCGACAATTGGCTTTAGTTTTCGACTGATTTGCAAAAAACTTTTGGTACTATACATTGAATTCTGTCTATATATACATATATTTTCATAGCAGTAAATATATTCCATTCGCTCATAATGAGTTTCTGCAAATTCGAAGAAACGTGAAAATAAAATATAATAATCAAAAATTATAATGATTAAAAAAATAATGACAATGATATTAATCTTATAAGAAGAGTATAAGATCTTTAAATGAAACTTTATATATTGATGTTTACGAATTATATAGCATTATAAAATATTTAATAGTTTTTAAGATTTTTATAATTGAAAATACAATTGAAAATATAATTATAAAATAATTATAAAATAATTATAAAATTTTAAATACTATATATCTTTGTAGCGATAACATATTAAAATTGTATATCATTAGTTAAGATTCAATTTTTTTTCAATAAATAATTTTTTTCAATGATATTATTTTTATTTATTATACTTTAAATATATAAACGCATATTATTTTAAATAAATTTTAAATATATATTTCGATTTCTTTCTCTTTAATTTTATTTATTACATAAAAAACTGAAAAATAATATATATTATTATAGAGAAAAAAATATTAGATTTTTACGTACAATAATAATATTTATCAAATAGCATCTTAGATTCATGTTCTTTACAATTTTGTCGAATTTTACTTATTTTATCTCATTTTATTGTTTTTATAAAGTATTAAGACTTGTTTAAACTATTAAGATTTGTTTTAATTATATTTTATATCAAATTAAAAAATAATGAATTTATTATTTTCCAAAATTTCTTTCCAGTTAATTTATAAATTATTGACAAATTATTAATTTATGAATTTTCAATAATTTATAATCAAACTTATAAATTCAATGAAGATTTTCAATTTATCAGTCAATTAATTTATATATTTTGTATGAAATAAAGTTGAAGTCTTTTAATAAATCAAAATAATGTATATATAATTTATTCAAAATTAAATATGTGTTTATATATATAAAATAATATATAATATATAAATATATAAATAAAAATAATTTAATTGAAAAAAAACTATTCATCAAAAAGAAATTGAATTTTGATCAAAATGTACAATTTTAATATTGTTATAAATATATAATTAAAATTGTTTTGTTTAATTGTGCAATTAAAATTTTATTGTAATGAGAAAACTTCAATTATAATTATATTATAATTATAAAAATCATAAAAACTATTGAATCTGTTCCTATAATGCTATATATTCGTAAACAAATCTACTAATTTATAAAGTTTTAACTCCAACTAAGGATCCAATCGTTTTACATTTCTTTTTATAATTTGTCCATTATATATCATAAAAAAAATCTTAAAAAAGTTTATATAAAAATAAATTTTAAAAATCAAGAAATTTATTCGTAATTTTGCAAACTACGACTACTAAACTAAGATCGATAATAAATCCAATTATATAAAGAAAAATAATTTATGTAAAAAAAAATATTATTCAAAATGTTTTTTACAACATTTTTCAAACTTATTAAGATCAAAGAAAGTTAATTGATTTTACATTACATTAAGTCTACGTAGAATAGAATTTTATTATGGATAGATTATCAGAATGATATATCATTTTTATTATAAAGGTTTATATAAGGATATAATTTTCCATAATTATACGATAAAACGAAGAATGTTTTATTTTAGCTTTTCTTTTTCACTGAT